AAGATCCCCTAGAGGAGGGCATGGTAACTCACTCCAGGGTTCTTGACTGGAGAATCCCCAAGGGCAGAGGAGCCTGGCGGGCTACAGTCTATGGGGTCACAAAGAGGTAGACACAGCTGAGCAACTAAGCACATACATCCAATATATACAGTAATGTTGAGGGGATGTCACTTCTGTGAATAGGTGACCAAAAACACTGTGATTTCTGTTTGGTAGCTGATGCTCACCCCTGGGGATTTTGATGAAGCAAGCAATCATGATTTAAACAAAACAAAAACACAGTCTATAGACTGCAAGGGAATAGTTGCAAATGATGTGACCAATAGGGATGATTTCCAAAATACACAAACAGCTCATGCAACTCAATAACAAACCCCAAGCAACCAAGTCAAAAAATGGACAGAAGATCTAAATAGACACTTCTCCAAAGAAGGCATGCAGAGGGCCAAAAGGCACATAAAGTGTTCATCATCACTAATTATTAGAGAAACACAGGTGATACAATGAGTTATCACCTCACACCATTCAGAACGGCCATCATCAAAAAATTCTACAAACAGTAAATGCTGGAGAAGGTGTGGAGAAAAGGGAAACTTTCCACAGTGGTTGGGAATGTAAATGGGTATAGCCACTATGAAGAACAGTATGGAGATTCCTTAAGAAAGTAAAACTAGAGCTACCATATGATCCTGCAATCCCACTCCTGACATATATCTGGAGAAAAATATGGTTTGAAAGGATATATGCACCCCAACGTTCACTGCAGTGCTATTTACAATAGCCAAAACATGGAAAACCTGAATGTCCATCAATAGATGAATGGATAAGCAAGATGTGCTTACCACTGCGCCACCTGGGAAGCCCCAGCAAATACAATGCAATAGGAAAAAAGAAATGAGGGGAAAATCTAATTGAAAGAGACAAGACCTATCAGTCAAACCTATCTGGCAGATATCATGGGGGTCCTGATTTAAGCAAACATTTAAAGACATGCCTTTCATGTCTTTCCACTTGGGCAGAGAGAGGTGAAGTAACTCACCTACAGCCACACCAGTGACAGGAACAAACCACAGCACAGCAGCGCCCTGCCACCAAGAAGCAAACGTGTCTCTCCTTCTCCCACTCTTCAGCTCTTCCTGCTCCTCTTCCCGTCCAGCTCTGGCTGCCTGCAGAGATCCTGCACCTGGCTGTCCTCACTCCCCATGTCTCCCATCCTATCACCATCATCATTAACATCACCCGACCTCCAGGAGCCATCCATATATATTAATATGAAGAACTGGAATGTAAACACTTACTGGGTATGTAATGATATAAGGTAATCACTCCCTGGGTCTCCCCCCGCCACGATTAGCATCACCTGACCTCCAGGAATCCATCCATTTCTTCCTCTTGTGCACCACCAGAGTATCTGCACTACTCCTTCTCCCATTGCTTTCAAGACAGAGCTAGTCACACAAAATACTTGACACCTGCTCAAGTGGTTTCACCTACATTTTCTGGATAAGGAAGAACAACTTTGTGGGGGCTGGGGTGGGTTGCTGTTGCTCAGTCTCTACGCTGTGACTGACTCTTTTCGACCCCATGAACTGCTGCACGCCAGGCTTCCCTGTCTTTCACTATCTCCCTGAGTTTGCTTAAACTCATGTCCATTGAGTCAGTGATGCCATCCAACCATCTCATCCTCTGTTGCCCCCTTCTCCTCCTGCCCTCAATCCTTCCCAGCTGTGGGGGCTTGGGGAGGACAAAGTTTCAGGACGCTTAGTAGGAAACAGCACTGGACAGTCAGTCTCGAATACTTTGCTCAACTTTGCCTGCTTGGGAGGTGACAATCACATGTCACAAGCTCAGTTTACTCAACAGTGAATGTGAATGGTAAATAGCATGTCTTCCTCTTTTAGGGGGATGGTAAGGAGCACCTGTGAAACCCCAGGGGAAAGCTTTTTAGTCTACACCATAAGGCCTCTGCACCAGCCCATCCCCTTCCTGGGTCACCTTCCCACGCAGCACCAACTCCCTCACCTGCTCCAAATCTTAGCTCAAATGCCTCCTTCTCAGTGAAGCCTTCCCTGACCACCCGAGATAATGAAACCCCACTCCTTTATCCTGCTTCATTTTCTTCTGTTTCCAAAACACTTTATTACACTGTCATTTATTATGTGCTGTGCTGTCATTACTCGTGTCCGACTCTTTGCGACCTCATAAACTGTTGCCCACCAGGCTCCTCTGTCCATGGAATTTTCCAGGCAAGAATACTGGAGTGGGTTGCCATCTCCTTCTCCAGGGGAACTTCTGGACCCAGGGATTGAACTGGTGTTTCCTGCATCTCCTGCACTGGCAGACGGATCCTTTAGCACTGTGCCACCTGGGAAGCCTCATTTATTATACTTACTGTTTATTGTTTTTCTCAAGCAGGGTTCCCTGATGTGTCCCAAGTCCCTGCAACAGTGCCCACTGGCCCAAAGTGGTGCTCAGCAGATGCTGCTGACTGGCTGAATGCCCTGCTCACTGCCTGAACTTCCCTTCTTTTCTAGATGCTCCTCTGCTCACAGGCACTGAAAATCCTTCATGTCACTGTCGTGAGGCTGAATGCGGGAGTGTGTTATCAGCGACTAGAACTGACTAGGACTGGACTAGACTGATGAAAGAGAAACAAAAAAACCAAAAAACAAAACAGCAACATTCCCCATTTCTCCCTTCGGTTTCCTTAGGTCGCAGGCCTGCCCTATCAGGCCCTTTCTTCCCATCTCTCCTCTCCTGCTCTGTGCTTTTCTCCTTTATGCCTTGGGCCTCTCTCTTATGGCTGCTTTCTCCGTGAGCTTTTCTTTGCCTTTCTGGAAAGGTGAGACAGGAAAGGGCTGTCTGAGCCCTGGGGCTGGAATCTCAGAGGGACCAAACTGAAGGTCTGTGTTGAAGGTGTGTCTGTAGTAGCACCCTAGCTAAGGACATGCAGCCGAGTCCTTGTCCCCGTGTCCTGAGATGCTGCAGGGGGCGGGGGCGTGAGGACTGCAGGCCTGCACTGTGCTTGTAAACATGGACAGTTCCTTTCCCCTCACCCTGGGAGTTCATGTGAAGGGGAGAGAGGAGGCATAGCGGAAGCTCTGGAGCAGCGGCTTTTTCTTAAAGCAAACGTTTACAGGAACTGCTTAGACTTCCCAAGTGATGAATCTGCCTGTGCAGAGCAGAGAATGCTGCCTGGTTTCCCAACCACCTCAGCCAGCTGCCCATTGCACTTCATGGGCATCTCACTCCTCTGAGGGTGGGGCTGGCAGTGGGGAGCATAGGTGTAGAGGCAACATGCAGACATAGGGGTTGCAGTGGGAGGATGAGAAGGAAACGGATTTGCCTGACACCTCTAGCTGCAGAAGGACCACCAGGACTGTCTGGGGTCCTGATATTCAAATGTGCTCCATGAACCAGCAGCACCAGCATCACTGGGAGTTCGTTGAAAATGCAGATTCCTGGGCTCCACCATTACCTTTTGAATTAGAATCTATTTTAACAAGATTCCAGGTGATTTGTAGATACTCTAAAATTCAATAAGCACTGTTCTGGGGACTTCCCTGGTGGTCCAGTGTTTAAGCCTCCATGCTTCTACTGCAGGGGGCATGAAGTTCCATCCCTGGTCAGGGAATTAAGATCCTGCATGCCCTGAAGTAAGGCTAAAAAAAAAAAAGCACTATTTTAAATAGTCTGCATTTAGCTAATGTTCTGTTTCCAAATAAACAGTCAAGGAATTTTAGTTTTTGTTGTTTTTATGGTCCCCAAGCTATAAGGAAAACCAAATATATATATACACACACACATATATATACACATATATATATTTACATATATAGGCTTAACTTTTTTAAAACAAACTTTGAAGACATACTTAGCACGGTATATTTTTAAGTTGAACTTATAGTTCCTTTCTTTTGAAATTCTGATTAAGATTTTGACGGTGGAGAAAAGTATAATGAGACTGTCAGCAGAGGCATTTAACATTCCATTTAGTTCAAACAGGATACTTAAAATTCCACCTACATTCATTAGATGGTATTATTTCTTAGGTAAATCACAGTGCACATTTATTGAATTATAGTTTCAGTGCTTTACAAGTCTGTATTAATCTCATGTATCCTATGAGAAGGGTACTCTTATCCCCTATTAAATTTATAGATAGGGAGACTGTAGCATAGGGACGTTTAATTAAACTGCCCAAGGTCACAGAGCTCACAGATGGAGAGGCAGGTACTGAACCTGGACAGTGCGGTGCCAAACTTGTGTGTTTAACCCTGACGGTAAATGGCCTGGACCTGCTGGTCTCCCGAGTTAAGCATACCCTGCCTGAGGTCAGAGGCTCCATTTCTTTATAACCTCAGTGATGCTGCTTACAGTGGCCTTCCACCTGGCTAAACTTCTAAAGCCTGTGACAGAAAAGGCTATGAATAAAACAGGCATATTGCAAAGGGTTTAATATTATTATTATTGGCTTCATCACATGGCATGTGGGATCTTAGTTCCCTGACCAGGACACAAGCCTGTGCCCCCTGCATTAGGAGTGTGGAGTCTTAATCACTGGACCACCAGGGAAGTTCCACAAAGGTCTTAAAGTATCATTTGACTTGTTATTTATAACAAAAATGGGAACCTTAAATATAGTAATGACCTGCACTGAGAATTTGGAGTTCAATATCAAAATGCGACATGGATTTCTAAACCATCAAATCTATAGGCTACACACCAGGGGTAATGCTGCTTAGTAAATGAGTGTGCCAACCATTCTGATGAAAGTATCAAAGAGAACATCCATTACATTCCTGGGGAGATTGCTGACAATGATAATGATTTTCTATAGGAACAATTCTTATTGCCCCAAACCTTATTGTGTTTAAAATGTCACTTTTACAAAAAAAAAAAAAACCCAAAAAACAAAAAACTCACCTCTGAATATCCTTTGAGTATATACACAAATGCTAGTAATTTAGAGTTGTTTAATATTAAGTATTACTCAATAATGGCCCCTACACACCAATTTATTTCCAGGTTAAGATTTGGTTGCTTTAAGGGAAATTGTTAGAAATGAACCAAGGGATAGGGAAGAAAGAAGTTGCCCAGCAAGTGCCCACATGCCCACACCCACAGTCATCCACTCAGGAGACAGCAGCACGTGGTCTGCAAAAAAATCATGCATTCCAAAGCAAGATAAATTTCATAAGAGTAAAATAAGCCATTTGAATATCTTACTTTCCCAAGGATCACCTCACTGAAAGGCCCTGGTGGTCCATAGGGTTAGTTTTAGTCCAATTTGACAACAGTATGGATTCTAAAATGCCTAATGAGGTTGCAATGATGACTGAAAGCTTTCCCACACTCATCACACTTATACGGTCTCTCTCCAGTGTGGCTTCTCTGATGTTTGATAAGGAGTGTTCGACTACGAAAGCTTTTACTGCACTGACTGCACTGATAGGGTTTCTCACCAGTGTGGATTCGGAGATGCTGGAAAAGCCCTGCATTCTGACTGAAGGCTTTTCCACACTCGTTACAGCGATAGCGCTTCTCTCCAGTGTGTATCCTCTGATGCTGAACAAGGTACGAGCTCAGGCGGAAGGCTTTCCCACACTCTTCACATTCATATGGCTTTTCCCCTGTGTGGATCCTTCTGTGTCTAATGAGGCCATTGCTGGCACTGAAGGCTTTCCCGCAGTCCTTACATTGATAGGGTTTCTCTCCAGTGTGGCTCCGCTGATGTTCAATCAGGCCTGACCTCTGGCTGAAGGTCTTTCCACATTCTCTACATTCATATGGCTTCTCCCCAGTGTGGATTCTCTGGTGCTGAATGAGAACTGAATTCTGAGTAAAGCTTTTCCCACACTCATTGCACTTGTGACGTCTCTCTCCAGTGGGCTGTCTGCTCTGTTTTTCTGCCCTGCTCTCACGTTTACACATTTCTCTATATTTAGAATCTAAAGGAACATCTCTTTGGAGTCTGCTATTCTCAAAATGTCCCATTTCTTTTAAGACTTCCTGTTTTGATGTCAAGTCCTGGTTTTCAAGTACAGTTTCACCATCTAGAATAATAAATAGATCATGTCATTTTTTTTCCTTTATGAAAGAGTATAACCATAGGATGGGAAAGAGGAAGATTCATGTCAAATATACACATTTTAGGATCCAAAACTGGCAGTGTAATATAACAACCTAAATAGAGATATGGAGACAAAGTAAGGGGTAACCAGCACCTGCTGAAATGGCTGGAGGAGGTCACCCAGACAAGGTGAGGCTTCTGGAGAAGATGTACACAAGCAGGCACTGTGAAGGGCTTGCTACAAAGCAGGTGCTGCTCTTAATGTTTTATGTATATTAACTTATTAAATCTTCAAATGACTCTCTGACTCTGATTATTTCCATTTTACAAATGTATAAACTGAAGGTACAGGAAGGTTACTTGACCTGTTCAATGTCACATAGCTTCTAAGTAGCAGTGCTTAAATTCTAAATGAAACAATTTGGCCCCAGAGTCCACAGTCTCAACTATTACCCTATACTGGGCCACCAGAGATCCTATGAATGGACCTGAAAATGTCCTTACCTTGTTCTCCAAATTTGTGGAGCCCAAAAGATTCACATTTGAGCTGTGTCACCGTGGACTGAAGCTGGAAAGCTGTTGATTCCTGCTTGGCCTTCAAATGCACTGCATCCCCTGAGAGCATTTCAGCAAGTCCATGTTCACGATCTGGGGTCTGAAGGCAGGTAGGTATATTTGGGTTGATAAGAGGAAGACTACTGGAACCTGGACTCACACTCAATGAGAGAGCTCATATGGAACTGTATGAGACATTTTATGCAATTGCACAGTGGAAAGCCCAGAGTTTAATTCCACACCCAAAAGCAGAAGGGGGAGAACAAGAGTGGCCCAATGAGGTGTGATGGTTTAAAATGTGTTCGTAAGCTCTTCAATGTTATTTCTACTAAAAGGTGGAGACTGATTTCTCTCCCCTTGAGTGAGAGCTGTACTTAAAATGGCTCATTTCTACTGAATAGAATGTATGGCAGAAATCATTGTATATAACTTCTGAGACTAAGTCATAAAAACGTGAGGATTCATCCTTATCCTCTCTTCCTCTATCTCTGTCTCTCTACCAGGGAAGCCAACTGACATGCTGTGAGGACACTCAGTGAGCCCTAAGCAGAAACCCAGTAAAGACCCCTACCAACAACCAGTGAGGAACCAAGGCCCCCTACCAACAACCATGGGAGTGAGCCATCTTGAAAGTGGATCCACCAGCTGCAGTAGGTCTTCAGGGGACTATAATCTTGGTTGACATCTTCACTGCAACCTCATGACAGATCCTCCTAAGTGGCTCCCGAAACCTGACTCAGAAACTTGGAGGTAATATTTGTTTTTTTTAAGCCATCAAAGCTTAGGGGATTACTTGTTACCCAGCAACAGAGAACCAATACATGTGGCTACAACCAACCAACCTGGGTCACCAAACTTCACCCTTCACTTCACAGTCTATGTCCAGAAGGCCATCTTCGTCCTCTCACCTGGTTCTCTGGTTCACTGAGCTCTTGCTCCAGGTCTTCAACTGCAGCCACTGCCTCCTCCCCACTCTTGGGATGGTGCTCACGTACCCAGGCCTGGAGCTCCTCAGGCAGGATGGTCAGGAACTGCTCCAGCACCAGGAGCTCCAGGATTTGCTCCTTGGTATGTGTGTCTGGCCTCAGCCACTGATGACAGAGTTCCCGAAGCCGGCTCAGTGCTTCTCGGGGACCAGGAGTCTCTTGGTAACAAAAGTGTCTAAAAAGTTGGCGGGAGGCTTCCTGGCCAGAGAAGTTGTTCTCTTGAAGGTAGGTTTCTTGGTCCCAGATAGGGTCCTCCTCCACCTTCACAACCTTAAGTCCATCCTGTTCCCCTGCTGAAGCCATTCTGGGATTAACTTAGAAGGGCTCAATCCAGCCTGGGGTGGAGATGTAACTGATTTAAGATCCTCTGATTTAATCTTCTTCAGGAGGATGCACCTGATGAGAAAAATTATGTTTTAATGAAATAAGTAATGGGGAAAAATACAGTATAAGAACAATAATATCATGTTATCATTCATGTTAACAAAAGATATACATATGTATGTTTAGAAACTGAAATTTTAAAAAACGCATGTGGCAGAATACATTACTGACCCCATTCTTCACCCATTCTTCACCCCATTCTTCAACATGGACTTTGTTGCGTGCTCCTGCTGTGATTCTGGGTTCAACACATGACCTGACTTGGCCAGTGTAATACTAACAAGTGTGACAGAAGCTAGTGTGATTGCTCTTGCATGCCTGTGCCCTCTATAACTGCTAAGAGGATATACTGGCTTTCAGATAGAGCAGATGAGATCTAGGTCAGCTAACAGCCAGATAACCTCCCCTCCTCCTGCCCTACCCCAACATGTGAGTGACTCCAGCTGAGATCTGCAGAGCTCACAGCTGACTGTAGATGTACAATTAAGCGTTGCCTAGATCACCAAACCCAACAGACTCATATACTAAATAAATGTTTACTGTTGTTATCCTGCCAAAGACTTGTAACTGTTTGTTACACCACATTATTACAGCAATGAAAAACTACTACAAAGAGATGGCCTCTGGGAAGGGAACTAGGTAACTTAAGAGAGGAAGGACATTTTACTTTTCACATAATACCCTCAATATTTTTTCTGATTCTTGAGTCATTTGAAATACTGTACTTATTCCAAAAAAATAAAAAAAGGGACTCCCTGGTGGTCCAGGGTTAAGAATCTGCCTTGCAGTGCAGGGCATGTGGGTTCAATCCCTGGTCGGGGAACTAAGATCCTGCATGCTGCAGAGCAACTGAGCCCACATGCCACAATCAGAAGTCTGCAAAAAGAGAAGATCCCAAGTGCTGCAACTAAGACCCAAGGCAGCCAAATTAATTAAATTTTAAAAAGAAAAGAAACAAGAGGCTTTAACCAAATGTCTATAGAGCAAAGAGTAGGAAAAACATAATTCTGACAAAGTGTGAAGCAGTGAAACAATGTGGCTTAGGAGAAAGTACATTTGAATTGGGCCTGAAATAACTAACAGAAATTAGTTAGGCAGAGAAAGGGCCCTGGCAGGAGATTCAACATCACAGGCCAAGCAAACAACAGGCTCTAACCCTAACCCATTTAACATGCATTAGAGGATAAACAGGAGAAGGCACTGGCACCCCACTCAAGTACTCTTGCCTGGAAAATCCTATGGACGGAGGAGCCTGGTAGGCTGCAGTCCATGGGGTCGCGAAGAGTCAGACATGACTGAGCGACTTCACTTTCACTTTTCACTATTATGCACTGGAGAAGGAAATGGCAACCCACTCCAGTGTTCTAGCCTGGAGAATCCCAAGGATGGGGTCGCACAGAGTCAGACACGACTGAAGTGACTTAGCAGTAGCAGCAGCAGAGGATAAACAAAAGAATGGACACAGCTGAAGAGTAACAGTGATTATGAGAATACTGAGACTTTACTCTGAATGCAGCAGGAGATTATAAAATATGAAAGAGCAGTTAAGAAGAGAATATTTCATATATATATCTTGTTAACTGCTCTTTCATACATATAATATGTAAATATATATACATATTATAATATAAAACATTAAGACACTACAACATTAATATACAGGAGCTTCAGAAGAGAAGAATGTAGTGAATGACTGAGAAATAACAGTTGATGAGAAAAAATTAAGAATTTTCTAGAAATGAAGGCCTGACTTCTCAGATCAAGAATGCACACCTAGACAAAATAGACTGAAACTGAAATCTATTGAGGATAAAGAGACAATCTTAATAGCTACCAGAGGAAAAGAGATTACCTATGAAGGAAACACAGCAAAGTGCACACTAACACAGTCTAGAAGGCAATCAGAGTGGAGAAATGACCGTTAATACAGAATTTGCCCTGAGCTAAATATAAGTAAATAGAGCAAAATGAAGTCATTTACAACCCACAAACACTTCCTACGAGAGTAAGTAAAGGATATAGAGTTCAGCAAAGAAAGGTGAACTCAGAAAGAAGGTATGAAATAGAGGAAACATAAGCTCAAGAACTGACAAAATATGGTGATAAATTTAAATGATTATGGAGGGAAATCTTGTAATTTATTCACTCACATGTAAAATGATGTACATAAAAGGTTATTTACTGCAGCACTGTTTGTGAGACAAAGGTTGGAAACAACCCAAATGGCCACCAAGATGGGACTAGGTAAATAAATTATAGTAATCCATAACTACTGCTATGCAGTTTTTTGAAAAGAGGACGCTCTTTATGTACAGATATGAAAGGATGGGCAAGATCCATTTAGTGAAAAAAGCAGGGTACAGAGTCACCATGAAAATACTAACAAAAGGGAAAGGGAAAGAAAAAAAAAAAAAATATATATATATATATATATTTGGAATATATATATTTGGATACCTGAGCAACATTACTTGTCCCTGGGAATGGGAAATAAGTGGTTGGGAGCAGGTATGATGTGGAATTTTTCAATGGATAGCCCTTATTACATTTTTTACATGAGAATATTTTACTACATAAAAGGGGAGGAATAGAAAACCAAAATTCTTTATAATAACAAGATGTGGTAGATGGTCAGTTCAGTAAAAGGAGTGTATTAATGCCTTTGGTGTCAGGAGAATAGAGATACTGAACAATAGACTTCATTTTAAAAATTCTAAAAGTAAATACACATCTTATAATTTAAGGGTAAATCAACAAGGAATTGGAGCAAATGGAATTCTCATACATTGATATGATAATTTAATGGATACAACCACTGTGGAAAAATCTTTAAAACTATCTCTTAAAGCTTGAGAATAAAAATGTTCTGCAGCTGTGGTATTAAGTAGCCCAGAACTGATGTATTCAATCAACAATTCATTTCAGAGAACACATTTTTGTAAGTCCATCAATTAGTGACAACCCATAGCTTTCAAAAATCAGTTAGTCGGGAATGACTTGTTCCAATAAACAGCTCTGAGTGCCAACTAATGAACAAGTTTGTCCCATGAAACCATGTCTCCACAGATGTCAGCCCACTGAACCCCATGCTTCTCAAAACCCTTATGTAAGAGCAGCAACCTCTTCTGTACCTAGTGAGGACTGTACCTAGGCCCTGGTGAGAGGATCTCTTCAGCTGTCTTTTCATTTCAGATACTGAGTGATGGTCTCAACATTTTTTGACAAGATGAATGTCTGTGTACCACTTGACCCAGTAATTCCACTGTTGGATTTATACCCCAAAGAAACAAGTGCTTATGCCCACTAAAAGCTAAAAATGCAGGAATGTTCAGAGCAGTTTTATTCAAAATAGTTCCAAACTAGAAATAACCCAACTGTCCCTCAACCCTCAACTTGCAGAATAAATAAAGAGTGGAACTGTGGTAGGCAGAATTCTAAGATTGCCCTATGTTATCCTTCATGTTATCATGTCCCTTAAGATTGTTAGTTTACATGATAAAAGGTATTATTAAGATGTAATTAAGTTTAGCAATCAGTTGACCTTAGGAGGTCTCTAGGTGGGCCTAACCTACTACATAACTCAGCAATTTTTTTTTAGCAGAAGAGGAAGTCAGAGAGTTGAAGCACGAGAAGGATTAGATACACAACCATGGACTTGCTGATGGAGGGAGCCACGTGTAAAGGAATGCAGGCAGCCTCTAGAAGCTGAGACCTTCCCCCAGGGGCATCCAGCAAGGAAAGGGAGACCTTAGTCCTACCATGGACTTCAGTTCTACAACTGAAAGAAACTGAATTCTGTAACTGGTTTAAGACTCTTGTATTTTCAAAACACAGTCAATAAATTTGGTGCCATTTACATTTACTCAAAGTTTTCCTTTTTGACTCCTTCTGCTGTCCTACTTCTCCAGTACTCTTGCCTGGAAAATCCCATGGATGGAGGAGCCTGGTAGGCTTCAGTCCATGGGGTCGCTAACAGTCAGGCACGACTGAGCGACTTCACTTTCACTTTTCACTTTCATGCACTGGAGAAGGAAATGGCAACCCACTCCAGTATTCTTGCCTGGAGAATCCCAGAGACGGGGGAGCCTAGTGGGCTGCCGCCTATGGGGTTGCACAGAGTCGGACATGACTGAAGTGACTTAGCAGCAGCAGCAGCTATCCTGCTTCATGGCTCTGTTCCAGGGAGAAGGAGTCCCTGTGTTGCTGGAACTTTCACTCTAATGGGGAAGATTAAAAAAAATTAATTAACTGCAACAACAACAAAAGTAAGGAGGCAGATAAAATAATGAGCAGTTGTGATAAGTACTGTGAGGAAAACCAACCGGTATCAAGTTATCAAATAAATGTAGGACCTGTTAAGATAGGATGATGAGAGGTGAGGTAGCTAATGAGCCCTAAGAACAGTAAGGACTGAAATCTGCAGAGTAGAGGTGGCGGGTAGGGAGAGAACTGTTCAAAACCCCCGACAGGACTCAGAAGTTTATTTTTTATTCTAAATGCACAGGAAAGCCACTGAAGGCACATAGGAGGGTCAGTGGCGAGACCGGGTTTATGTTTTAAGAAGCTCTGCTACTGGATAGTAAGCGAGCTAAGGGAATGAAGATGGAGGCAAGAGAGGAAGAAGAAAAGGCAAGCACTGAAAGAGTGGAGGTGGAGGCTAGTGCACTGGATCCAAAAGACAGCCACTTAGGTATAATGTCAATACATTCATCAAATTAACTTTGAAAAACTACAACTGAAAGGCAAAAGAGCTTAACTTTTGTTTGAAAAAAGAGCTTTAATCTTTGGGCAGATATTTACAAGCTGTGCTAAGAGCTGGGTATACACAGGAATTTATAACTCATGGGGATAAAATTACAATACAGTGAAAGCCATAATCTTGAAGATGTGTACAAGGAAGTAGGACAATTCATCTTAAATTCAAGATTCAGTTTCTATGTATTACATGTTATCCACAAAGGGGACTCACTTCAAAAATATTCACTAAGTGCCTATATGTGTCAGGCAGCAAGTATATGATAAAAGAGTGATACAATTACAGAATCTGAAGTGTCCTCATCTTCCTTAATTGAACTAAAAAAACCACGAGGTGGCAGAAAGAGTGTAAAAGAGCGTTTCTCTTTCTTTTTTCTGACACCACACGTGTGCCACCCAATGATTATAGTTCCTTCGGGTCTTTTGTTCTAACCTGTCCTGTGCACTGCAAGAGCCAGGTCCTAACCACTGGACCGCCAGGGAATTACTGAGCTTTTTTATTAGCTTCAGCATATTAGCAATTACGAAGAGATAATGAAAATAATAAACCACCTGCGTTGTAAAATAAATTCGAAAGGAAAACTGATCACAATGGCAAAGAAAAAAGGAATAACTTAAATACCATGAGGAAACTGGCACATTCAGAAATGGAGCTACTCTAGGAAAGGATTGGAATATCCTTCAACCAGGCAATAGGGTGGGGAGAAAGGAGGAGGATTATTGTTATTGTTTAGTCGCTAAGTCGTGACCGAGACTTTTGAGACCCCCATGGGCCACAGCCCGCCAGGCTCCTCTGTCTATGGGATTTATTTCCCAGGCAAGAATACTGGAGTGGGTCGCCACTTCCTTTTCGACCCAGAAGGGGACCCGCATCTCCTATATTGGCAGGCAGTTTCTTTACCACTGAGCCATCAGGGAAGCCCACGGGAAGCATAGGACTGTTTTAAACTAAGAGACTTAACTGCATGCGACGAATGGTCTTTAACTGGGCCCTAGTGGGTGTAAACCAATTGCAAAAAACACCTGTAGGACAACGAGGGTAAATTTGAATATGCAGTAGATGTCAGGTAATATTAGGAAATGCGCTTACGTTTAGTTGGATGTATTGATATTGGGGTTATGATTTGTGTATGTAAAATGTCCTTAAGTTTCAGAGATGCACATTTAAGGGTGACAAGTCACGATGCTTGTAATTTATTTTGAAATATTTAAAGAAAAAATAGATGTGATAAATAATGTCTAATTTTAACACTTGTTAAATAAAATTGATAGGTATATAGGAAGTTGGGCTTTTGACAGGGAGCGAAAGCAACTTCCGGAAGCCCTTCTTCCACCTCCACACCTCGGGTCTGGTCACAAAGCTCCGCCTCCACAAGGGGGTCTTCTCCAACGACCCCAGCGGGGGCAGGGGCGGGACCTCCTTCTACCCGAGGCGTGTGTCCAGGTGACCACGAGAGGCTGGCGGGGGCCACGCCCGCGCAGACGTCCCCTCTTCCCCTACTAGTCCAAGGCACCTATCATAATCTTCCTAGGGCGGGCGAGTCGGAACGAAGCGCCTGAGACTCACCTTCGGGATCGCGCGAGCTCCAGGTCCGCCGCGCAGGCAGCATCACTCAGAAAACCTACAAAGGCCGGAAGTACGTCATCGTCCCGCGCTCCGTCCCCGAGCAGCCCCTTCCCTGCTAGGAGCATTCTTGTACTCTCTAGGAGCTCCGGAGGTTAATGCACTTGGTGACTACTTCGTCACAAAGCTCGGAGCCAGAAATCCAGCCCTAGGAGGGGAAACCCCCGCCCCCCGAGATTTCTGTGCTGAGTGGTTCCGGGCATGTAGAAGTCAATGGTCCTAGTAACGCAAAATGTTAGGGCCGGAAGGGACTTCATTGTTCCTCCAGTGGATGGTTGTTACCATCCACTCCTTCCTGAGGCTCTCCCCTAACTGTGGTCCCTTTAACACCACAAAGGAGAGATGGTAGCTGTGGTTGGGTTTTTTGTTTGTTTTTAACTCTCAAACTGTTTTCTAGAATCGCAGTCTAGGAGAGACACAGGCACATAAACCAGTGTACACCTGGTTTGTATGTGAAATGAAATAAAAATGAAGTAAATGTAAGTCGATTAGGATAGTCCCTGGACCATAGTAAATGCTGCAGGGATAGTATATGTTAAGAAGTTGAATTTTTTTTTTTTAATCCATTCGTTTAACAGATTCTCTCTGAAAGCATTCTTTGTGTCAAAGATTTCCTCTAAGGACTGGACATAATAATGAACACAGGTCTTGACTCTTACAAAGCTTAAAAGAGAAATACAGACACTGGGAGATCTAGTATATATAATTTGAATGAAACATAGGCATGAAAGTGGAAAATCACATATTACAAATTTTGAGGTCTTAAAAACATCGCAAACATGAAAGTCAGAAAAAATTTTTATTAATTGCCTGACAAATGTCTATAATTTTTAACTAAATTTTTGACTTTATATTCTTAACTGTCTTTTAATGTCAATTTTGTAATTTAATTTTTCTAGAAAGAATGAAAAGATATGTAGTCTATCCTCTAGCATAGCTGATTATTTTAAATGGTTGGTATCTGGGTAACCCTCTATCGAGTTCTTTCAGTTATGAGCTACAAGATGTTAGGATGTTTTAAGTTTTGTGTATGAGGACTAATCTGAAAATCTCTTATATCAGTGACACTATCTAGATTGTTTTGATGTCCTCATTGTGTCAGTATTATTTATTTATTTTTGGCGGCACCAAGGGCAGTATGCAGAATCTTAGTTCCTCCTGCTGCTGCTAAGTCACTTCAGTTGTTTCCGACTCTATGTGACCCCATACAGGGCAGCCTACCAGGCTCCCCCGTCCCTGGGATTCTCCAGGCAAGAACAGTGAAGTGGGTTGCCATTTCCTTTTCCAATGCATGAAAGTGAAAAGTGAAAGTGAAGTTGCTCAGCCGTGTCCGACTCTTAGCGACCCCATGGACTGAAGCCTACCAGGCTCCTCCATCCATGGGATTTTCCAGGCAAGAGTACTGGGGTGGGGTGCCATTGCCTTCTCCGTTAGTTCCTCCACCAGGGGTCAAAATGTGTCCCCTGTGGAGTCTTAACCACTGGACCTCCAAGGAAGTACCAGTGTCAGTATTTTAAGGCAAAAGTTCAAGAAATACTAATCTCTTTCCACGGTGCTCAGTGATTCATATCACTTCATTAATTACATTACTAAATAATCCAAGAGCCAATGGATTTATTCAAAATTCAGCTTTCCTCTTACTGTTTTTGTGTAATCTGAAATTTGTTTTGTTATAGTTTGCTTCTTTATATCAGAATAAAAATCTGTTTATTTTATTCAATATCTGTTTTTCGCGTTACATTCTTTTAAATTTAAATTTTCTCTGTTCTGTAATAAATTATCTTTATTTCAGAACTTATCACTTGTTCCTTAAATCATATGAAAATGTCTTTCCAAATAACTTATTTCTAAGTCATTATCTTATTTCCTCAATACAGGTTTGGATTACACAGGGGCATGCATTTATTAAAACACAAACTGTACAATGAAGATAATACATTTCAGGATTCCCCTGGTGGTCCAGTGGTTACGAATCCACCTGCCAACGCAGAGGACACAGGTTCCCAGGAGCTCTCACAGGCCGCAGGGCGACTAAGCCTGTGCACCACAACTACTGAGCCCACACTCTAGAGCCCAGAAGCCAAAACTGCTGAGCCTCTGTGCTGCAACTACTGAAGCCAGTGAGCTTAGAGCCTGTGCTCCACTACAAGAGAAGCCACCTCAATGAGAAGCCCATGCACCACAACGAAGAGTACCCCTCGCTCACCATAATTAGAGAGAGCCAGAGTGCAGCAATAAAGATCCAGCACAGCCAAAACTAAATAAAAATTTAAAACTTCTACAAGCTTGCTAAACTCTTTTATTAATCATCATAAGTTGTTCAATTATCTTGGACTTTCTATTTAAACAATTGAGCATATTCCTTAAAAGTTATGCATTGTAAAAAAGATCAGAGAATGTTGTACATCATCTAGTTATACAAAGGGTTAAGTCTCAACCTGCTGCAGTTGCCCATCATCAACAGTTGGGAAAAACAGAATGAAGCATTCTGGGCTTTGGATAAGGAGCCCCTAGATGATTAAGATGGAAATCTAAGAACAAATTTCAATGACCCTAGGTTCTTGTATCTTCCCATGCATAGAAAAGCACAAAAAATCATTAACTTGAGATATTTGTTCTTTGTGATTAGCAGTGACCTTTTAAATGATGGTGTGATCACTCACTTAGAGCCAGACATCCTGGAATGCAAAGTCAAGTGGGCTTTAGGAAGCATTACTACAAACTAAGCTAGTGGAGGTGATAAATTCTAGCTGAGCTATTTCAAATCCTAAAAGATGACTTTGTTAAAGTGTTTCACTCAATATGCTAGCAAATTTTGAAAACTCAGCAGTGGCCACAGGACTGGAAAAGGTCAGTTTTCATTCCAATCCCAAAGACGGGCAGTGCCAAAGAATGTTCAAACTACCATACAATTGCATTCATTTCACATGCTAGCAAGGTAATGCCCAAAATCCTTCAAGCTAGGCATCAACAGTACGTGAACAGAGAACTTCCAGATATTCAAGCTGGATTTAGAAAAGGCAGAGGAACCAGAGATCAAATTGCCAACATCCGTTGGATCATAGAAAAGGCAAGAGAATTCCAGAAAACAAGTACTTCTACTTCATTGACTACACTAATGCTGTTGATTGTGTGGATCACAATCAACTGTAGAAAGTTCTTCAAGAGATGGGAATACCGGACCACCTTAACTATTTCCTGAGAAACCTGTATGCAGGGCAAGAAGAAACATGGAACAATGGACTGGTTCAAAACTGGAAAGGAGTACATCAAGGCTGTACATCGTCACCCTGCTTATTTAACTTCTGTGTGTGGTGTGTGTGGGAAAATCTTTAGCCAGAGCAGCCACCTCCTTGGACATCACAAATCCACACCTGGGAGAAGTCATACCTGTGTAAAATGTGCAGCAAAGCCTTTATGTGGAATTCACATCTTCTGAAACATCAGTGGATCCATAGTGATTAAAAACCTTTAGAATCCTGACCCTGGACAGACCTAGGAGAGTCAGGGAAGGAAGGAAAGCCAGTGGGAAAATGTTAAGGCTCCTGTGTCTTATGAATGTAAGAGTGTGAGAGAAGTTTCACTAGGAATAGAAACCTTATTAAGCATCAAAACATCCACGAGTGAGAAACCCTTTCAGTGTGATACATGTGGAAAAGGCTTCACCTGAATTTTATTCCTTATTCACCATTAAAGAAGCCACATTAGGAAAAATATTCTATCTCCATGACTCATGGAGTTGGTGTTCATTCCTCATTGAACTGAGGCCACCCTGGAGCCCTTGCTGACTAGAAAATTGTGAACTTGGCTTTATCACCACACATTATCAGATGTTTGTTAGAAAACAGAGTCTGGTTGAGATGAATTATCTTCTACATCCTCGGTGATTGAAAAACAACAACACAAACTTGTTTGATGGAGGCCATGGGAGAGTTTTCTTGAAGATGTCTGATCTGAAATGGTTTGTTCTCACCTATTGAACTTAAAAGGGCTCCCAGATTGACTAATTAATCATCCTCAGCCACACTTTATATGACAAGTAGAAGGCTGTGATCTGGAGACTGTTGCTCTATTTATCTTGCTTATAATGAAACCTCCATGGTTTGTCAGATTCATGAAATCTTATACACACACACATACACACTTCCACACACACATATACTATACCAGTGAGATACCTTCACAGCTCTGAAAATCTGATGTCCTCTAGAGTTCTGAAGAATTTGTCACCAAAACTGTTTGTGTTTGTGCCTAATTGTGAGGTCCTAGATTCTAAGTCAATTAGTGCATGTTTTGCCAAGCACATAGGATTGACAGAGTAGGGATAAGGGTGGGGTTACTTGTGACAGAATCAAAGGGAATACAAATTTCTTTACCAGACTAGGAATTCTAGTATGAATGCCTTAGCTTCTTTTTCATTAAATCAATGTGAATTATGATTCAAACTGTAATCATACATTGTGGTTATTAATCATACATAATAACATATGGAATTACATTCTTTTATTAATGTTTCCCTGACATTATTTTTGCTACTCTTGAAGAAAAAAAATGTCCCTATGCAGGCAATGTGAAAATCAGTTATTAAGTCAGGATAAAATAACAGATTCTCTAAAGCTCAGCATCTTGGTTCTTACCTTTTAGTTCTCTTGGGCCTGACCAAGGGCTCTTTAAAGCCTCTACTATCCTGCTCACAAACCTTCTCCCTCTTCCCAGCTGTAACATAGACTATATCAAGACTTACAGTTAATAAGTTCAAACTTCTCTGGGTCAGTGGGTTCATACCAGGTATTTAAAACAAGTATGATTTATGGTTTCAAAACTCCACATTTAGTGTTGATTGTCTTGGTCTTCTTATATATTGAATCCCAAACCAGCTATATGGTACCACCTCCTCCAGTATTCATGATAACAACTTTAACCATTAAGTTAACTTCTCAGGTTACCTACTTTCCTTTGAACATACTTTGTAAACCATGGTATTTTTTTCTTCATGACAGTCAAAATTGCAGTCTTGTGAATTCAAGTGACAAGTTGTTGTTTTAGTCAGCATTATGAAAGAAATATTTATTATGTATATTTCAAA